ATCAATTAATTAGTCAATTGTTAATCAGAATACAAAATTAACCGATTAATGTATCAGCTGTCAATACTGTATAATTTTTTTCTCAATTATTTAACCCTAGATTGGTCACCCTATGAGTGAAACCCCGCCGTGCGTCGTTTTTCAGTAATTACAATTGACTGGCTAACCGGAAAAATTCAAAAAAATTTGACTTTGTCAATTGAAATATCTAAAAAATTATAGTAATTTGTAGAACAAGGTATTTCCCAAAATTTCCAAAGGAAACAAATTATTTCGAACAGATAAATTATTTTTCCCCATGTTAAATGAAATTGCCCATGAGGCGAAGTTACCGGAAACTCACTAAACGCGCCCGGGCAGTGTAGAGTGAATTCGGCAACGCTACAGCCTAAATAATACGGCGGAGAATCCCCGCGCACGTGACCAAGTCGCAGGGATGCGTTTGGTCGAGGTTATGTTCGTCATGTTGAGGTTATGTTTAATGAAACCAAGACTTAGGTATATTCCAAAATCAACGAATATTAAATTTTATCCGTAAAATGAAAACGTCGAAATACTTTTTATCCACAGATTTTCAATGGTCCAATTTCTTCATCAAATTGGCTAGGAAAAGTTCGAAAACAAAGCATGGATAATCAGCGTCTTTCGAACGAGATTCTGCAAATAATTACTTTTTTTTCGACATTCTTAGGAATGAATAATGGAAATGGCTCAAACTTTCAGAAGAATATTTTTAGGTATCCTATTAAATTTTGGTGAAATTCTGAAAGGAGAAAAATTCGTTACAATTTAGAAACGATTATTTTTAGAGTGAAAAATATATATTATTATTGACAGAACCATTTGACAGATTACATATAACTGCTACTCTCCACATACTCTCTTCCCCTATTTTCATTTCTACCAAATTTCATTAGTAGTAGGCTTCTGAATGGATCTCAATGTATGTTTTCAAAAAATTAAGGCATACGGATTCTCATTTTTTGAAAATATTAAGGCCAATCGCACTCATTTTCCCCTATTTCTATAAAATAAATTTGCAATTTCAATAATCCTGCTGTGAAAATGGACGCTGAAATATGGATGCGTTATTTTTTTTCTCAAAAATTTTGGGTGAATTATTTCATTTCAAGAACTATCAAATACATAGACCTAAAATTTGATATAGGAATGTTCCTTGACAATTCTAACTAAAACCAAAATTTCAAAATGTTTCCCTGACTTTTACCCATGTCATAGTGTGCAAAAGTAAACTGCAAGCAAAAAATACAAAAATAACGATATCTCGAAAAATTTCAATGGGATAGTATCCATATTTTGTTGGATCTAGATAAATGGCATGAAAACGCACATTTTGAAAGAAAAAGAAATGAAATCGGACAAATAGTTTTTGTGATATTGACCAAAATATTTCGTTCATCCAGCATCCCAAACTTTTTTACCATGAAACCTAAAATCATACTAAGTTTCAAGTTTCTATCTCGATTATTTTTCAAGTTTTCGTGCGAACAAACAATTTCAAGGACAAAAATAAAAAACGAGAATAAAACTACATTTCTCAGGGTGTAATGGTCTGTTTTCAATCCAATTAAATAGGTACATCGTGACGAGGATTTTGAAAAAAGAATCCAATCGGTCCGGGTGATATCAGGAAAAAACTATTTTCGAAGAATTGCTATATCTCAGGAACCGTTCAACCGATCGAGTTGAAATTGAGCACAAATTTGAGTCTCAGCAGTACCAATTAGCAGCCAGAATTTCATTTCATGTTTGCCTGAATAATTCTCGAGTTATGGGGACAGTTCTGGACATACGAACACATGTGCACACACATACCTACTCATATACAGACATTTTTTAAAAACATCATTTCTTCACGTTTCATGACATTTCCAGGCATTTCCACCCAAAATTCAGAAATCGAAAAAAATCATGATTACAAAGCTTCCATTTGGAAGCAAAAAAAGTCGTGGTCTCCAAAAATCGCAATTTTGCGACCATACTCAGAACAGTCGACTTTCTATTTTTTTTAGAAGATTTTAAAAATGTTCCCTAATAATTATGAGTAAGCAGTAATTATAGTGTTGGAAAAAGATTTTAAATGTCATGGACAGTTCAGTAGTAATTTTCAGGCGAGAGACATTTACTTCAGTTTGAGAGGAAAAAGTCGTGAAATTTCAAATTTCGCTGTAAATTTAATGAAATTCAACACTTTTAACCAGCATGTGAAGCGGAGAACTTTTCAAGTTACTTGAATTCTCATTTAAACGATGAATATTCTGTACCAAATCACGCTGTATTTTCGATTGATAAACAAATTATAATTGCCCAAATCAATTAGGCCACAGGAAAATAGAATGATTCAACTTCCTCAATGGTGCGTTTACTGGGGTTTCCTTCAAAGTTAATTAGAATCAATAGTTAGAATTATCCCAGCAAACAGTATGTCGACAATTTGTCGGCAAATTGCCGATGTCCTGTTAAATTTTAGATGGCACTGACAAAAGTTGTTTTCTGGGATGAGAGATTCTGACATTTTTTACCTTAAGTATAGAAGAATCTGAATGCAACATAGTGAAAATTATAATCGATTGTTTCACTTTGAACAGATAGTAACAATATTTAAATTAAAAATTTCTGATATGATTAAACAAAAAAAGCTTTGACTCAATATTCCATAGCTGCAAATAATAAAAATGATGATAATTATGTAATATTATCTGAATCATTAATGTGAATTTCAGACTCTCAAAAAGGGATAGAGTAGAAGGCAAACAATCATTTAAAATTTCAATTTTTAATTTGGTGCTGAAAACATTAGATGATGATATTCTAAGCGTGGAATTATATTGATGATATGAACAACGGATTCATGGAATTAGCGAATGAACTAATTATCAAAATTTATATGAGTGTTCCCCAGAAATCTACTCTCTGGTTTACGTTCGAGAAGAAAGTGGATTATAATTATGATCGAACTTTTATTCAGTTAGAACAGCAATTAGCTCATGTGCAAGTAATTCATTGCAATATGAAAAATTAATAAAACTTAAAGCTAATAAATTGGGACATATTATTTCCATCAGTTAAGTTGCTTTTTGCAATTAGAATGATTGTGAACATTGAATTGAAAAAAGGAATATTGAATCTGACAGGAAAAAGGGCATAACGAAAGGGGCATCAACAGCCCGGTCGCAAGGCGCTAGTCTTCGAAGAATCTTCGGAAGTTTACATGAAAGATCTTCTTGGTGATCCAAAAAGATTCTTCAGAAGACAAAATCTTTCAGAGACAACTTCGAAAGATCTCTAGAAGATAAATTTGGAATATCTTTGGGAGCCGATTTTTTTAGATCTTTGGAACTCATTTTTTAAAAAGATCTTTGGAAGACAATTTTTTTTCTTCAGAACACAATTTTTTTTCAGAACACAATTTTTTTTTGAAAATCTTTGAGAGACTTTTTTTGTTTTCTTTTCTGGTCAAAAAGATTTGACTCCAAGTTTTTAGACCCTCAATTTTTTGACGCTGAAATGTTGACGATGCGATCGCAAAGATTTTCAAAAAAAATGTTTTGTGAAGAAAAAAAAATTGTCTCCCGAATATCTGTAAAAAAACTTGTTCTGTGAAAGAAAAAATGTGGATAATATTTCTCTTCTGGTTCCTCCAAAATGAGAAAAATTGTCGTATTTTTCATTCCAATAATAGGGGTGTTAACATCATGTTATGAATAGTCGACTTTTTCTTGTTGCACTTATGCCCAACTGGTACAATGCCAGTCACTCGAGTAACCTTTGCCATCCTCAGAGGCCGGAAAACACGTTTCATAGTACGTCTATTCTACTGTTACACAGTCGTTCACGGTTGCGTTAATACACCTTTTTTTCTTTTTCCATCAGTTTAAAAGTCAAACTATTCACATACCGTTGTCGTGTATTAACACAAGAATCTGGTGGCGAGGGAACACATTGCGCACTGAAAGAGAGATTTTCCTGAATCGAGAACTCAAGAGCATTTTTTTGCTTGATGCGTTAAAGGAATAGTATATTTCGATACAAGTATGACGGATTTCTCACGAGCGTAAAGTTGGAGGCTCGAGGTGAAAATTCGTCGTCTAGGTTTCTTTACACTTACTATTCATGATTAGTTAATTTCAAATGATTTTTATTCCAAAATATTATTTATCCAAATTTTTTAACAAATAAAAATTTTTATGAGAGATTTAACAACCACGCATTTTTGTTCGACGCAGTTGGTATTCTTGGGTTCCGATAAAATCCTATACTGTACTATAGAATCTATACTTTGGCTGAGTTCGTACGATGGCCTTCGTCGCGCGCACTCTAACCTCCCTCAACGTTGCCTGTTTTGCCATCAATTTACTCTAACATAACAAAAATCCCAATCTATGCTATACATTTTCAATAATTACAAATAATCCCTGGGGTGACGGCTAACGAAATTGTCGGGATATGTTCCTGAAATATATACGGTTCTATTCGTGAAGCGTTTGGATTTTTATTCCATTATCGATTTTTTTTGTGATTTTTGAACAAGTGGTGCCTTAAGACTGTTAATGACACATCTTTCATATTTTCTCATATTGATATTTGATATTGTAATCACTCAAAGAATATATTCTCCAAATTTCAGCTCTGTAGTCCATTTCCTTCTACTCCCATATACTTACTGCAGAAGTTCCTTAACTTGAAATACCGACATTTCATCCGCGCGCCCTTTTCCTACTGAATGTAAATTCAATTGAATTTTCTAGCAGGTTCACCAGGTCTTCTTATGAATTTTTCTCATAAGCAAGGCTTCGAAAAAATCCTACCTCGATAAAACCTTGAAAACACATTTTTTCCTTATCAAAAAAAGAAAATTGTTCCTTAGAGAATTATTTTCTCTCTGTGCAGTGAACAAGTGTGTTAGATCGATTCGACGAAGGCAATTAACAAGCGAATGGGAATACTTACACTTAATTGCAAATATCTCATATTTTCAGGTGAATTCTTCGTCGATCGGTGCACGGGAATTACAGACACGATAGAGGACTCCCCAGAGAGACCCTGCCCATTGCGAATATATATGGATTTCGTGATGATGATCGAGATCGTTTCCATTCTAGCTTGGGGAAATAAAAAGCCGGGATGTAGCCAACCTGTCTGGTCCGAATCTCGCCAGACTGGATATTTCACTATTTCAGACTTACCTGTAAAAAAATTAAATGCATGTGCGTGTAATAATAATCGTCTGACATCACGCGTCGCTTGTGGACTCCTTCGTTACGCGTAATTACACCGGTGAGTTGAATCAAAACAACAATTACTCAATCATTTTCACCCGTAAATGTTACTGCACGTGAAAGTCTTGGAACTGCTTGACCTTCACCTTTTTCTCTTGAGAACAGGTGGATGATTGGATTCTATTTTTTGGATTGAGATATTTCTGTTGATATATTCGCTGCATTTTTGTTGATGAATCGAATTACATTTTGGGAAAAGGTTTCTCGTTTCCAGTAAAAATCTCTGAATTTTGAACGAATTGATTGAATTTGAAATGAAAATCCTGGAAGTAAGTTACATTTTCACTTGCTGTCAGAAGATTTTCCGTGAAAATCTTAGTAATGTAATTTTAACTCAAATCTACTCTCCTAGAGAAAGAATTGAAATGTCGTGGACAGTAGACTAGTAATTTTAAGGGGAAATAAGTGGGAAATTACTTACGTCAAAACATAGTCAATATATTGTTGCTAATTAGGAATTTGTATCAAATGTGATGTTTCAAATTCATTCAAGTATGTATAAATAAAATTTTTCTATTAACATTTTATCGAAGAGCTGAAGGGAGAGATAGAACCGCGAAAAAGACGATTGTAAAGAGGAAAGGGATAATAAGAATAATGATGATTATAACATTCAACTAAGTTGAAAATCTGACAAAATTAGTTAAAAAGAAATTTTATTCAATCTAATAAAATTAAATAAACAATGAATTATACATGATAGAAGGAAATGACGTGCAAAATAACCATTCCGAAGCATTTTGCTAATTTATTAGCAAACATAACTACACTATATACAATACAAGAGCAATTTCCACTTGTTCCAATTGTCTAAAAACGACACGCATGAAAAAATTCAATTAAAAAACCTAGCGAATTCGCTAGAAAATTCTATTGAAATTAAAAAATTCTATTTGTTTTTGCGATGATTCTATTGGATATTCGATAAAAAAAAGTCAATAGATTTTGAATTTCTGTTTAGAATTTTCTCTTGAAATTTTTTCTATAAGAATGCTTGGGCATCAATTTTCTCATCAAGTTTTTTCCACTCGCATTCTGAAAAGCAAAAAAAGAAGAATGCAGTAGAAAAAACTTGCAGCCAATAAAAAAAGATAATTTGCGGCCAATAATTTCTAATAGCAAAAATTTCAAGAGAAAAATTTGAACAAAAATGTGAAATCTATAGACTTTTTCTTATCGAATATCTAATAGAATCAGCGCAAAAAACAAATAGAATTTTTCATAGAATTCTTATAGAATTACAATAAAATTTCCTAGCGAATTCGATAGGTTTTTTATTGAATTTTTTCATACGTGGATCAGTCAAATACACAAATATATGATTGATGTACATCCAGATATAGTTTAAACATAGCACATTTAAACTCGTGAGGCCAAAATTAGTTATCCTGGCAAAAAAAATGGAAATTTTGAATTTGATGAATTCAAAAATTATAAAATTTCAGATTTCCCTGAAACTTAAATTAAGGAACTTCCGCAGTAAGTATATGGGAGTAGAAGGAAATGGACTACAGAGCTAAAACTTTGAAAATATATTCTTTGAGTGCTTACAAATATCCTCCCAAAGTTCCAAAATGCTAAACCACGTAGATTGTTGAGGAGAAAATATGAAAAATGTGTCATTAACACAGAGTCTTATGGCACCACCTTTTTAAAAATCACAAAAAAATTATCGACAATGGAATAAACATCCAAACGCGTCACGAATCGGACCGTATATATTTCAGGAACATATCCCGACAATTTCATTAGCCGTCACCACAGACATTATTCGTAATTATTGAAAATGTATGGCATAGTGTGAGATTTTAGTTACGGTAGAGTAAACTGATGGCTGAACAGGCAACGTTGAGGGAGGTTAGAATGCGCGCGACGGAGGCCATCGCGAGAACTCAGCCAAAGCATATACTATAGATTCTATAGTACAGTATAGGATTTTATCGGGACACAAGAATACCAACTGCGTCGAACAAAAATGCATGGTTGTCAAATCTCTCATGAAAATTTTTATTTGTTTAATAATTCGAATAAATATTATTTTGGAATAAAAATAATTTGGAATTGATTAATCGTGAATAATAAGTGTAAAGAAACCTAAACGACGAATTTTCTATACACCCGTAAACTTTTCGTCATTTCATTATTTTTTTTTCTAAGGATGCAGCGGAGTATCCGAACCTTTGATATTTTCCCCCACTCCATAGCCCCAAAATTTACTGCGGAAGTTCTTTAAATTCCGAATTTTTTACAATGCAACTGGTGGATGCTAAAAAACACCCTGAAATAACGATTCCGTATGTTGAATCGACTCATTATGAAAAAAATATAGTGATTAAAACCGTAAAAAGGGCCCGGTAGGCTTCGAGTGGCAATAACTGAGACATTGCCGGTATTCAATGAAAACATGGCAATTCAGAGATGCTCCAAATTCCGGAGAGACAATTATAAAATTAATTTTCAAGTAGAAAAATTTTCAACAGTGATGAAGACATGCATTACTCCCCTTTATTTTTCTGCTGCTTCCACAAAAGAGAATAATGGAATTATGAAAATTATTGCGGAATCCTTATGTCGACAATGAATTTTGTAGCCAACAGTCATGTACTCGCTATCAATCATCTTTGCATTAGTACCAATATAACCAAGGATAAGAGGATTAATTATGTACCTTGAGCCATGCAAGCGCCAGTTACCAAGTATTACTGTATTTATAATAAAGTGGAAAAAAAATAAATTACAACGTTATAGGAGAATGTTGAGACGCTCGGGCTGTGGTGGAATAAAGTTCGCCCATTCTGTGCGATGTTGGCTCGCGATAATGAGCCTGATAATAATTCCCAGGCGTAGAGTGTGCCGTAAGTACGCCGAGGTACCTGAAATAATTGAAACGCTCGGCACCTTGCGCCTCCATCTTCTCCGTTCGAGTGAGAGAGAGAGAGAGAGAGAGAGAGAGAGAGAGAGAGAGAGAGA